GTTGACTGAGACGTGCTCTTTTATTGAAATAAAATGGGGTTGATTTTTATGAAATCATATCAGGATTTTTTTGCGAATAAACTTGGAAATGTAAAAACTTCACAAACGATAAGATTTCCACAAAATTCTCAAACACACGATATGTTTCACTAACACAGTATAGCTTCGTCAGGTGATATAAAAAAATTATATTATTGTTTCTCATGCTTTCGAACATCCATATAAAAAAATAAATCACCTCATTCCAAATTAACAGGATTGGCTTCATTTCTTTCATTTTCAGCATTGAAATAATAGTGAATCCAATTAACTTCAAATTTTGGAACGTTCAATAGCTGAGGTAGGCGTGATTTGAAAAAAAACAAGAGGCACTATTATTTTATGTTGAACCCACCCTTTCCGAGTGAATGATTATTTCGTTCGCAAAAATGCTGTTCAGATTTGCCTCTATATACTTTTATTGGAACACTCCATAGGAATCTCATAGAAAGTAACGAATGAGGGGTTTGAAACTATATGTAGAACATTATTATGAGGTCAGTTTTCCTGTGAACAAAAATCATAATATAATTTCAGCAAGAAATTACCCCTTTTAATTCTAATAAAAACGTACGGCACTGACCAGAAGGATCATATTGATGGTCATACATACTGATATTCAGTGTTATCTGATGAAAACAGTGGATCAGTCAACAAACAGATAGACAAACAAACAGTAGAAATAAAGTTAAAGGAACATGAACTTCATACTGCTGCAAGTTCACTTGGTCGTTTTATTCGCATTTTCGATATCCCTTTATTACTGAATGTAATAGATAATATGGCACTTCAGGAAACAATATATATTTTGCCTTCTTGACTGCTGGCATAATCATCTGATTATATCTTTGAAAGTAATACCTATTCATCATACAATATCGTGCAATGTATATCTTCTACTTAGTCAAACAAGCAAATTTATGGATTCTCAGCACTCAAGCAAGTTAGTTAATATTTTCTTACTTGTTAATTCATTGATGAATATTTCCGTAGCATGCAAGAGTTCAAGTAGCACTTCTTCAAACGATTCGATGCCATTTCTTTCTCAAAATATAGGCTCCTCAGGACTCTGCACCTAAATGATGGTTATCTGCATCTGAAGATATTGTGGTTCGGTGGAATTAGCCTATCCTGATTTCTAATCCATTGAACTGTGAATCCTTATATTTTGCATCATCTACAAAACAGAGACTTCAGTAACGTGACACTGTATACGAGAAAACACTTTTATCAGTCTGAGTGTCCGGCGGTAGCATTCAGATTCCTCAAATTCTTCTGCACGCAGGTTCCAGTGGAAATGTTTCAAGCTTGACAGCGCTCCCTATGTCACAGCAGGATATCGATTGCCTTGTTATTCTGTGCCGATACGTTTCCAGATTTTCTCACATTATTTCAACCGGTATGCTCCCAAACTAGTCTAGTCTTCCGTGACGATGTTATCGAGGGATTGCACTGTACTGTGAGGATTCACCAAAACAAATTTCAATCATGTCGGAATACAGAACATACTCTGAAACTAATCCCGCGTCGTAAACGAACTCCGTACTTCACTGAACTCCGCAAACTTTATTAAATATTTCCGACATTGATAACTATCTAGATGTAACTTCATCGAGAAGGTATGTTAGGACCGCTCTTCCAGGTTGTTGGTTGTTCGTTCAGATAAAAGTTTCACCAACGGATGAGGATAGTTCGTTGAATGAGTTTTCCAACAGCAGTGATTGGGCTGATTCTTATTTTATTAAATATCTCGAGTTTGAGTAATTGGCTGGTCGGTCGATAAACTGCATAGCAGACGGATTTAATCTCATGATTTTATTGAAAATCTGGTGGATGTTATCGAACTTATGGAATCGTGAATTTAAAGGAAATGTGATTTTCTGATGAAATATGAGGACAAACTAAATAGTACATGAGCGTACCTCTATTTTGGCTGCCATTCACAGAACATCGTTATCTCAATGGAGAAGTCATAGAGATGATGTTGCTATTCGAAAACTTAGAAGAATCACTCTTGGCTTTCAATACTAGTTTGGTCATCAGCACCAATCAGCTTTGATTGACTCAGAAATGCATATATACAATCATATGTTCTGTGAATCTATGTCGAATTATGCTTCTGGAGCAGGAACAATTGAATAAACTGGTTGGATGAGCACGATGCGTACTTAGAGGTTGAGTTTTCATTAACTTCTTAAATCTTTTGGGGTGCACGAAAAGTAATTCCTATTATGTTCGGAGATCATCGTGCGTATCTAGAACTATCTATCTATCTACATAATCTTGAAGTGATTGCATTTTGTGAATCTATTTGTTTTATGGTAAAGGGTATCATGCTATTTTAGTACTTACATACCTGATAGAAATTTTGTTGGATTCATCATCACCACTACCGAACAGGATGTGGAAAATCATACAGTAACTTATGAAGTTCGAGTTCTTGACATTTCTACTTTCTGTAACTCGATTTTTACCTTTTCTTGTGATCAATATCGTTATTCGTTCTATCGATGACCAAAAACCATATGAATGATAAACTTTCCAAAGGTACGAAAATATTTCGGGTGTATATGTTTCATGATGAGTTCAGATATTTCTGGAATATGCGCAAATCACATAGTCCTGAGACCTAAATCAAACAGGTTCGTTTAGGGTTCAGAAGTTGAATGTTTGTTTTCTTCGGAGATGGACGAAATCATGCATAGACAACTCGAAAGACCAGTTTCCTTATGGCAGTGAGGAAGTCCCAACTAAACACTTCACTCCCTTCCATGGCTCGTCCGACCCGAAGTCTCCGGTGACACTAAGGATTCTTGGCCCATTGTGTATCACCTCGAATATGCCGTTATTGATTTCATCATATACAACCCATGGCAATTATGTAAAGGCCTTTTCAAATACCATCTCAGTAATTGTTAGCACTGCTGCTCACAGTACCAGAGGTTTGTTCGAAAGACCCTCCACGTTGATGATCCTGAAGACTACTCTACTGAGCCCTGATCTCTTCCATGAAGGAGACCATAAGTTTTCCTCCTCCTACGAGTAATAGTAGGAGCGGTTAATCTATCCCTGTGGTGCCCCCTACCAAGGCTACGGTTATTTCCACTGAAATGTCAGAGGGAGATGTTTCTTCAATGATGTCATAAGAACTTGGTGCCATTCATTCTTCGTCACGGGTGGTTTCCACAAGATGGATTAGTTTCCGGATCCTTGTTTACAAATCTGTGGCCACATGAGCAGATGTCCACAAATCACTCCACCTTTGCACAACAATGTCCACAAAACAGACACTGCTTGTCCTACCCGCACCATAGTGAAATAGGGCTTTAGGGGAGAAGGAAAAAAGAAGAACTGGCCGTAAGAGGCCGATAGGAAGGATTTAAAACTGAAGATAGAAACGGATACTATCCAAGACTGGTTTAAGATTGATGCGTATCAGGTACCCAGGTTTCGTCATTCCTATACTCATAAGTCCTGAGCTCCTGAGGGGTTAACGTTGATTGGTAGAAATCATACAGCCTTTGAAATATTGCATCCCAATTATCTCAGGGACTTTTTTGCATCAATGAGATTCACCAATCTCTTCTATGCCAATGAATAATAGTGTGAAGGTTGTTACTTGAGTAGCAGTTTCTGGTTATATTCGACTCGTTATTGTCTTCTTAGTAATCAGTTCAAGCCGAAGGAGCCTATAATTGGTTGGTGTGAGAGAATAGAAGCAACATTGCTTTGCAGCATTTGGATATACTGAATGATTGAATTCGATTATAAATATTGAACAAGTAATTGCCAGGGCGGTTCATCGCGTATGTTTTGTATTCAAGATCTAGTGTGGCATCATGTGAACGTGTCAGAGATCTCCTTGCCATATTTATTTTCTCCAGTAATGTACCCGTATACAGAACTGACAGTGAGTGACACGAGGAACAGAGGCCATCTCAAGGAAAATGAATACACGGTTAGACTTGTAAAAAGGTGGAAGTCTGTCAGTTCTTATGCACGAGAGACCTCCTTATGTAGGGCTTCTCGTAAAAGATTCGAATTCTCTGTAGATCGCGTTTATGCTGACAGATCAGAAGATGGTTCTTTGTGTGAGAAGCAACGAACTGAGCATCATCTTTCATCTAAAAATAGTTGAGTTATATGATTATAGGTACCTACCTATCATTCATTCGAGATAATTGAAGAATTGAGCAAAACTCCCGAAACACAATATTTCGGGGACTGTTCATTCTTTTTTCTACTCACATAACTAAAAGGGCTTTTAGCGTACGGAAACGTACCACGCTAAATGATCGATCAATAACGAATTGACGATCTGTGATTTATTCAAAATATTAAACACGTTACCATGGCAACATGATGTATTAAACACATTACCATGGCAACACAGTTCATTAAACACAGCTTCAGTAATTTGAGACATGTCTGGCTTGTCAATAGTATCAACTGTCAAATGTCATTTTCGAATTTTGTATTAGAATTATTCAAAAAAATTTCGTTTGTATCAGAATTTTTCATTGATAATATATGCGAAATGCATAATAAGGAAGTGAAATCGAAGAGAATGTCCTCGGGTGAAAATTACCCTCCGGGCGTTATGATCTATATAACGCACCTGTTACATGAATACCTATTCAATCATTTCAACATAATTTCGAAGACCTATAATTTACTCGCTTTCAAGGTACTGTAGCTGCCTTATGAAGCAGTTTTCGACCCAAGTTAATTGCACCATTTCTTCCAATTTTTGATCAAAGCGTCTGCTGTTGAAGTATGGCAGGCTAATTTCGAGTATATGATTTAAAAATTGGGAACTCAATGCGTGAGATATAGGTGTAACAATATTTTTAAATCTATTCCACTCGAATATGATACATCTGATCTATGCTGCTACTGAAGTATGGCAGGCTTATTCCGAAACATATTGTGAAAATAAAATTCATGATTTTTTTTTGCAGAGGAAAACCCAGCAGCGATGCTTCACGCCAACAGCAGTGACATATCCACAGCCCTCTTCATCAGTATCCTTCTGGCGTTATTTCTGAACGCTTTGATGGCTTTTGACAGATGAAAATGTTGGACCATGAAGGTGTGATAATGTAAAAAAGTGTATATTTGTAAATTATATAAATTGACCTGATATAGTAGCAGACTCTTATAGGATATAATATACAAAATACAATACATGTCACAAATGGATGGTGTTCATGATGTTAATTATACATGATACCTCTTGTGGAACATCGTGCATTATCAAGATTATGTTTACTCTGTTCATTTCAAGAATCTCCTTAATCATTAAAACTTGAAGTGGTAGAGTTGAAATTCAATTAACCTTATAGAATTTACAGAATGACCCTCATGTATTTTGATTCAATTTGAAAGTGTCATGTTCTCTTGATTATGTCGAACAGTATCATCTGATTGAATCATGTATCCTAGTTGAAATGATATTCCTAATGAACCAATTCTTGCTGTTTGATATAAGTATACAAGATGCAATCACGATGCTTTTTGTTTGGAAGAACAATAGAGATCATCCAATACTTCATTCATTCGACGTATAGTGAATGAGGTGTCTAATTATAAATATTCCAATAAGAAATTGTGAATTGATACTCCATATTATTATGAATATGCGATGGAAAACATCCAGTGTCCAACAAGGAACTATTATATGCATAATACTGGGTGGCCCACGAGGTTTTGGCCAGTCGATATCTCGGAAACTATTTGAACTAAAATTTTGAAATTTGGTGGTTCTAAACAGTGGAATGTGGTGTTCATTTTTGATATTTTTGTAATGCTTTTTTTACTCATTTTGTTTCGTTTCCTAATTATACTGTTGTTCTTCAATAAATTTTCCATTTTCCATTCATTTGACAGCTTATATTGTCACCGTTTCACATGAAAACCCTAACAATGATGGTATCGTAGTATTTGCATTAGAAAGGTCTTAACAAAAATGCAATAATATACAGGGTGTTCCATTTAAAATTTTGAAGTTGATATCACGTGATTGGAAATGCGATGTTGCAATAAAACCCTCTTATACCAAAAATGGTCAATGCATTCCATTGTTCAAAACCACAAAAATTCAAAATGGTAGTTCAAATAGTTTTCGAGATATCGACTGGCCAAAACCTCGTGGGCCACCCTGTATATTCAACATTCATGTCGAACTCAAATATATCTGTTTTTTCCAACTATGCTGAGTAGTTTCATTTTCATGTTCCACGATTAGAATATATTCTAGACAGATTAGAAAAGACTGGAAAATTCCGAATGAATTCATCATGTGAAGTGAATAAGATACTAAAAGTTCTCTCAAGTCACTTCTTGAACAAACCACACAAAGTCAAGATCGCTGGTTTCGAGAGCTCAATATGTATATTCATAAGAGAAGATTCTTATTTTGACCTGAAAATTTATTTCCTGCAATCGTGATATGGAATTTTGGAACACCCTGTATGCATGGTATTACATAAACTATTGTACCTATCTTGGTATCAATCAAACTGTTGCCTCTTCTAAATGAAATAGGAAAAACTGTTAGTGCTACAGTAAAACTGATATAATTTCTATTGAGAATGAACCCAATTTCGAAAGAATCAACTCTGTCGCGAGTTTATGCTAGATAGTTTCATAACATCAACTAACTCTCTATGGAGGAGGAGGAGTCGTAGTAAAACGAGGTACATTTCTTGAGCAGTGTCAGATGCAAGTTCCCCATTAGTCACATGAATTCCGCCCCATCTCATAGAATGCAGACGAAACAGTTGTTCATTATGTTCATTGTCCCCTTCTATGAAAACACCCTTGTGAATTCTCGGTCCTATTAGAACTCCAAATTGTGTATAGAATCATAGAATGACTCGGTCCGATCTGATTTGTCAAGGTGCAGCTGTTGATATTAGAACCACATATTGTTTGTTCAATGGTTAATTATCTTGGTTAGATCAAGATCATGATGATGATGATTCATCTGTTGTCATCATTGGTCAGAATCAGGAAGAGGTTTGTGTAATTGACATTGAATATACTGCATTAAGGATATTTCTTAGTTGAAATAAAAAGCAGAACGAAATGAAGGAAAACTTTTTGGTCGAAACAATATATAATTTGGAAAATATTGAACCTCGGAGTTTGACTGAAACTTTCGTTGGGATTAATATTTGAGTCTATATAGATTCATGAATTAACAAATCTGGAAAATAAAATAAATGAATAAATTACATGAAAATAGTGAAACAAAGAGAAATTATGCCTATGCCACGGGGGATCAGTCTTCACCCAGTTTAATTTTAATCTGTATTTTTTTTTTGTATTGTATCATTTTAATTCAAATTTTTACCTATATACTTTGCCTTGTCTTGACTTTCCACAAATGAATTTAATTTTGTAACGTGGATGAATAAATAAATGAAAAATAAATGAAAATGAATATACCTTTCGATGAGGTCAGAAGCACCAGAGGTATCAATGATTTTCGAAGTTTCTGAGTTTTGAAAAAACCAACAACAAACATTTTTTTCTACTACTGCTATGAGAAGTAGAGCATTTCTCATGGCACTTTGCCAACACTACATACATTTCCATGTTCTTGCCTACTCAATAGTGGCCGTAGGTAAATCAATAAACTACTACTAGATTCGCAATTTTTTTTAATCAAGTCACATTATTAGTCTGACAGAAATTTGACTACTTCAAAAGAATGATATAGATGCCTGCAACGCAGGTGCCACTCCTCTTCCATAATTTTCTGATTTTAATATAATGTTATATCTTCTCAATATTGATTCGTTCTTTTTCCTAGAAAGAAATAGTGTATTATAAACGGGAAAAATATGAGATTTCAGCTCACTACCTGGAGCTGAAATTTTTTTACAATTTTTTTTAGAAGACGAAAATGTTGCTGGTCATAACTCAAACAGGGATCACCCTAAATATCTAATTTTTCCTTAAATAAGTGGCAAACTATAAAGTGTTTCAGGAAGATTTCTCAGAAATGAATAAGCTGGCTGAAAATGAATTTATTCAGTATTTCACTGAAGCACTATGTTCTGTTTAGCGAAGGATGAATACTAGCGAAAATAAAGTTCACCTGTATATCGCTCCTTATTTTCTTCTCAAATGTTCAAGTCGTCTTCACATATTGTATACTGTAGTGGAAAGTGGAGAGAATGGGGCCTTGCTAACAGATTTCATTTATGTGTATTTCGGATGCCTATATCGTCTAGATTTACATAGTGAAGGGAAAAGGACCATTTTATGACATCGTTTCAGCAGATGGTGGCTTGTGATATAGTGTGATATGAAAATGATGGCTTGTGGGATATGAGTTTATGAATTCGCGGAAAATGTTGATGATCCAAAGTCACATACAGAATTTGGACAAAGTTTTGACCCACTTAACTCATCTTCCACCTATTCTGCTGATGTTGTTCTTTTGTATTAATTCTATGTACCCACTGAACATGAAAAACATAATTTGAACATAAATGTTATCAGAGAGATGCTTAATGTCATAGATACGTTACCGCAATGGGCCTTTGTGCCTATTTCAAATATTGAAATGTAATTTTAATGGTAAATATTATTTATTTACTATTATTATTTATTAATTTATATCAGGAATTTCATAAAATCACAATGTTACTCTATAACGTATATTGAATGTTACCCAAAACATCTCAACAATATTGAATTATCATTCAATTTTATTCTAGTAGTTTTTATTTCATTTATATTTTTCATGGAATCATCAAGACAATCATATAAATGATTTTTAGAAAGGACAAGGGAGATGATCTATCCCTGAATATAAATGTAAATGGATTGATGTTGTCGTATTCCTGAATGAATATAAGTATGATCCAGTAATATAGTGACATTTTGAGACAGATCAACTACTAACTTTCTGAGTATCATTTTAGTCATTCTGCTTCTTGAATCCAGTGATACCTAGCTTAGGTATATTTGAGTGCCATTTCTGCTCATCTCGCATAACAACAGTGAATTCAGGTTAATTATAGCAAAGGCATTCAATTTCTATTGAGATTGAATTACCACGCTTCAAAAGTACAGGTATGCAATTCAGACACTGAAGATGTTGGAATATGTTGAAATATAAACAGTTAGAAATTAATTTCTGTCGTCACGAGGTATTCTTTGGATGTGAAAAAAAGTGTATGCATGTGATATACATGTTTCATTTTATGCACTACAGCTATATTTGATTTCTCATTGTGTATACCTATCTTCACTTCTCAAGCACGATAGAAATAAACCATGGTTCCAGTGAGGAATCAACGTTATATGATATATTATATACGGGGTGGTGACTTTAACTGGAACAAATTCGCTACTGAGGGAGTGAATGATTTTTCTTAAAATTCGCAAGACACGTCAACGTTTAAATTGAATTACCAACATTTGGTGAGCGATATGGAGAATATAACCCTTCAGGGGTAGCTGGAATCATCCCCAACATGTATATTTCAAATACAACCTTATGGCTTGCGACCACTCATTGGAAAGCTGGTTGAAAGAGAAATCTAGCATACTGATCATATTTCAGTTTGCAGTATGTTTGGGGGTCGCAAAAAATCAAGAAATATGATTTCGAAGTTCAATATATTTTCAAAGAATTTTCATAAAAAACTTTTAGTGAAAGTGATATGATTTCCACTGGTTTGCCATAACACTTGATTTCGAACTGTGAATACGACAAAAAAACTGAATTTCTGTTTGCTGCTCTATAAGAATTCTGGAATAAAATAGCAAATAGCAGTTGTGGCAAAAATTGCCATCAATTGTTCAGCACACATTTTGAGCGATTGTTACGTTAAAAAAAAAGAATCTCAAAATAACATTTCAATTTTATACAACCTTTGAACGTATAAATAACAAAGATTTGACTAGTACGCTGCATGGATTCGTTTTTCCACGAGCTTTCCAATGAGGGGTCACAAGCCAATACATTAAATCGTTGACGTATGTTGGGAATTTTTAGAAACATTATTCACCTAACCGCTAACGAATTTATTCCAATTAAAATCTCCACACTGT